AAAGAACTTAGCTGACCACTGGATTTTTTCTGAATTTTATACCTAGAAGATAAATTGGCAGACAGCATCAAGCATTTTGATATTATTTAAAAGGAAACATGCTTTAAATCACAAACCTGCTTTGTGAATGAGTGTTGTCAAAACACTGAAGTGAATAATTAAAGAAAGTGGGTTAAATATCTAGAGATCAGCAACATGCTAATTATTAAACAATCTGTCTTCAAAGCAGCAAAATTCTTTCAACTAGATTCATTTAGCTATCACTGTTAAGTGTCAGAAATGCTATTGAAGAAGGAATGGATGGGCAGACTGCATTTGCTTACTTTTCAAAACTTTTGATGAGGTTATTCAAGAAACACTGATCTGAAAGCAACCAAATACATACAGAAGAAATTTTTCTTTCAAATAAAAATGTATGTAAACAGTGATAAGAAGAAAACTGTCATCATGGAGCCATTCACTAGCAGAGTCTCACTAAAGAATTGATAAGGAAGATTTCTTAACCCCATCAACTAACAGAATAAGAGGCTGTAATCATTAACTAAGAGCTGCCAGTAGGATACAGTACAATGTTGGTTTTTTATGCAGAGTAATGAACAGTTGAATGGTTAACAAAAAAGGTAATACTACACTTTTAAATGCTGCAACCACTGGGAATTTTAAAAAAGAACTATGATAGATTAAATACTGAAAATGGGGAACCATGAGTTTAGCTCAGCTCCTTTAAACACAAATAGGTAATCACAAGAATACTACTCCCAACAATGTTCCTAAATGATACAGTATAAATGACCTGCCAGGAGTAAATAACTGCTTATCATAAAACACAGCATTGTATATGTATATGGAAGTTTCCTGACAATGCAAACATGCTAAAGAAAATATAAAACAAGCATGGCTTATAAAACCCTACAATAAGATTTTAAATACATACAGTTAGCAAATTGAGTGATACATGGATGATTGGAACATAGTAGAGTATATATGTAATATATGCCACAGTCATTGCAAAGAGCAAAAATAGTACCGTATTTTCCAGCATATAAGGTGCATGAGCACATAAGACACACCCCAATTTTGGCAGGCATATTCTGTAAAAAAATAAAAGCTTTTTCCATGATCTTTATAGTCCTCCCCACTATCAAATCATTTTAAAACTTCTTATGTATTCAAATCCATATTAAACTTAAACCCCACTATTTCCCTGTTCTTCATAATGCTCATGATATTCATGGTCACTGTCATCTTCATCCATACATTCCTCAGAGTCATCAATGCTCTCTGAGTCTGAAGTGTCTGTTTCCTCATATAAAAGGTTATCTCTCACATCAAGAATATTGTTAATGCCTTACTTCTTAAACTAGATATTTGTTTACACTGAGTGTTGGCTGCTTGCTGGCATGATGTTTCCAAGCAACTGTAACATAACATTAGTAAACAATTGCTAAAGCGTAAGCCAAAGCCAACCCTTGATCCTGACCTTGAGCATATAAGGTGCAGGCTGATTTTATTTTTCAAGACTTTTTTGGGGTAAAAAAGTGCCCCTTATATGCCAGAAAGTATGGTATGATAAATGAATTGAAGAAGAAACACCAAAGTACAGTTCTAACACAAATTGGTGATCACGTGTACTGATTCTCATGTTCTGTAACATATAAACAGTAAATATCCAGTATGCGTGCATATTTCTTTAGTTCCTTTTAATCATTACCATAAATAGTGTAAAAGATAAGGAACTATTGAGCTGCATACCTGAGGGGATCTTGCAGTGCATAATATTAACTCTACCATGAGTTATTTATTTGTTCAACATCAGTGATCTAGATGTTACAACATCAGTAATATGCAATCATTTGTACAAGAAATAGTTATCTCCAAAGAATTTTGACTGTGAATTCTCATTAAGATACACTTTAAATCCTGCTGATATTTTACACTGACATATATGTTACAAATTTTTTAAGAGTATTTGAGGTGATGTTTGTGTGGACTTTGTTTTATATTTTTAGGCAAATAGTTTTTTCTAATACTCTTCAAATTTTTAATGGAATATCCCCTTTTTTCAAATGTCAGCCATGTTTTTTTTCATGACCAACCCTCTTCGTTGGAATGATCTGCTTTGTGATTTTTGTGTAGTGGGCCGTGAATTGTGTTGGGTCTCTGGTCCGGTGCGTCGATCTCACCTACTGCTCTCTCCTGCATGACAACCCTGCCTAGCGTCCGTTCTCCTCTGGGACCAGCCAGTCTTCCCTCAGTTGGCTACCTACTCTCATCTATCTATCTTGCTCATTTTCCTCTCACTTAACATGTGGTTGCTGCCCCTGGTGCTGCTGCTGCTGAAGAAGACCAATGCAGTCCCACTCATCAGATCCCTCTTACATTCATTTCATAATCCTCTCATCCACATCGTAGTCTTTCTTCTCTCCGTAATACTCGATTGTCTTTTGTTACAATCATTTCTTACTGCAGAGGGAACTTTGGAGATGGTCCTTGGTAATCACGGACAACCCCCTTAGATGTAGATGCTAAATCACTTTTAGTAGTTGCTAATGGCAGCAGTAGTTTCACAGTAAAATTGCGCTGACCCTTGTTAGTAAATAGAATATAAACACATTTAGATATATTATAATTATATGACCTTTACATTAAGGAAAGATTTACTCTTCTGGTGTGTCTCTGGACAATACATATGCTCTAAGTTGTTTCATTTTCATGGTGCCGTTTCTCACATTTTCTTTTGTTTTCCTTTTTTGTATCCCTGCTCGCCGTCTTCATCATAAAAGGATTTCGAGGTGAATATGGAAAGAGATACTGGACTCCAGTATAACTCGTGTAGTGCAGTATTTGGCTGTAGTTGTGAATAGTGGTTCTGTTTTGTTGACCTCTACCACGCGTGTCCTCAGTCCTCTCCCCCACCCTACACCTGGTCTTCCCCTAGACACTGTTATTCCCTTCTCTAAGTACCAATGGTAACTATCCAGTTTTGTTTTGCTACCTTTCAGTTCCCTGTGATATTTTATGTTTTTTTAATGGCAAACCCAACCACCATTTTGACCAGCTCTGCAGAATCGTGTGTCTGGTCAGTTGCCAAACACCAGAAGCATGTCCTAGCCAATCAGCACAAGGAGTCTCTGAGTTTAGCCAGGCAGCACTAGGAATCCTGTAACATTAGAGCCAATCAGCACTGGAAGTTTTATAATTTCTTAGTCAATCAGCACTAGGAATATAATATTCCAACCAATCAGATCTTCCCAGTCCGCACACACACAGAGTCCCTATTTTTATTTGACCATCTCTGAAGTATTCCTTGTTTGATTTTGTTGGTTGATTTGAAGTATAGATTATAGTTTGTAGTGGTGAGTGTATCTTAGTCTGTTTGCTTTGGTATGCTAACAAATACGCAGTATGTCTTCATCTCACTGATTTGCACATCTTGTTCATTTTAAAGTTATTTAAATTTATTTGGACACTAAAATTCAAGTTAATGATATGCCATAAATATATTATTACTCCTTTCTTATCAGTGAGATTGAAGACATAGTGATTTATTTGCTTTTTCTTAAGCTACTTCTTGTTTCATCTTTTTAATTCCTTTATTTTTTGAGCCTTTAAAGAAATTTCAAAGATAATCACATGGCTCATTCCATATTATAGAATTATGTTCATTGCTTTTTTATAAACAAATGAATTAGATCAAAAATACTTCTGTATTTCTAAACTCCTACACATGTCATGAATATATAATATAGACATTTATAAGATTCCATATGAGGAGATAACATAAAACTATGTATACTCATTATTGCTGAAAGAATTGCCATTACCCATGGTGTCAGAAATTTAAAGTAGTGTTAGGAAAACTACACGTGGGAATCACTTCCTTTACTCCTCTGCAAACCTTAAATCCCTGTTCTTTCTTCTTATTCTGCATTTGTTCTTATTTCTCTTGCATGTTCACTTGTGTGTGTGTGTGTTGATCAAAGGCATCTGTACAGATGGCTGATAAAGGAATGGAGAGATAACTTATAGACAAGAAAGTCAAAATTATTATATGAAGAAATAGAATTATGAATTATTACTAGTATTAAAAACAGTAGGCTACTGTATAGCGTAAGTCTAAATTAGTAAAAAAAATTTTAGTAGCACCTACAGTGTTTATGTGTCTAGCTGTGCAGTCCACTTTAAATGTGTTAAAAATTATATCCACAGTCTCCCTCTCCATACCTTTTGTATGTGTTAGGCTCAGCTCATAACAATAATCAAGAGCTATCAGTTAAATCAAGGATTCCTCAGTGGCAAAGATGCACATCAGTAGTTCAATTCCAAATTTTGCTGATCCTGACACATCAATAAACTATCTGCTATAAAAGTAGCAAATACCTTTTTTTGTTTATCAGAAAGATTGCTGATTAGTTTAATGCCTCATATCTGTAAATATTTTCTTGTTGATAAAAAAAGTGTAGGTTTTCTAGTAGCTTTTATGCACCATAGTTGTTCTGTATAACTCATCGGCAATCTTTGTATCACCACCTAAGGTTTGGTCTTGAGTTCATTTCCTAAAGCAGTAAAGGTATTTCCTTTAATGGAGTCTGTACTTACGTTTGTCTAATGTAATCATGATTAAGAGCTTTTATGAAATAATCTGATTACCTTGAGTCTGTCAGAAAGAGCACTGAAGCAGTAATGTGATTCAAACTGAACGTACAGTAAAAAATATTTTGTAAAATATTTTCATATTGGTGATTCATTTCCATCTGGTGCAATTGTTTAGAGTGTACCAGCTCATTTCTTTGCATTTCTGTGCTTCTTCTGCAGATTATTGGCTAAGCTTGTATATAATTAAAATAAAGATAATGTAGAAATTTATGCTAAGAAATCCTTGTGAAGGAGTTGGTTATGGACTGCTAATAGCCTGTATTTGTTACCAATATCCGGGTTATTGCTCATAGCCCAGAGCTTTGATAAAAGTTTTAAGAGTTTTCAATATCATTTTCTTTCAGTTCTTTGTTCGGTTGGACCATATCAGAAAGTGCTTCACCCAGAAGGGAGGAGTATTTGTGTTGGAAGAGTACAGTAAGTAATGTATAAATATTAATTTACAAACTTGTTGTGTTTTTTATTCATTATTCATTGTAGGTACCTACAGCCTGATAGTTTTCTATTTTTATAGTTTTCTATTTTTATAGCCAGAAAATTACTTGAGTCAAATGAAACCTTATGAGATAATAATAATGTTTATATTTTTATTCCATGCAAATAATGTAGTTTAAATGAATTAATACAATAGTAGGCATAAATTTTTATTATGTACGTAAATGAAGGAGGGGTGGAGATACATGTATGTTACAGTTTTTGAACTGTAGTGTAGGCATGCCTCTGCCAAGACAGTGATGGAGTGAATGTTTCTTTTATTTTGGGTCACCCTGCCTCAGTGGGAAATAGCCGATGTCTTAATAAAAAAATGATATACACTTATCATTGAATTTATTTGATTATTATGTACTCAAAATGTTATAGAGAAATCCAGTATTACAGACTTGAATTTACAAAAATTTGCACCTACAGATGGGCACATAGGAACTAATTAAATTTGTACAACTGCTGATATGCAGTATAAATATATGCCAGACATAACCAGCTTTGCACTATTGTTTTCTATAAAAGCAGCTTGTTTGTAAGTTAAAACAAGAGAAACATAACTCATTTGTAAGAGTAGTACCTGCTGCAAACTTATTACAGGAGAGTCCCACTTAGACAGCAGGTTAGGTTCTGGGCTACTGCTATAAGGTGAAAATCAGTGTAAAGTGAAACATAGCCTTTATTCACTTTCAAATAAAAGCCTGATAACATGTTTACACTATCGTATATTAAGTGAGCAATAGAGCTAAGCCTTAAAAATGCATATCCAGTACATACATTACTTACCTTAAAATATTTTCATCCTTAGCTTAAAGTGAGTGGTGAATATATTATTGTAGGAAGTCTGAATAAATGAAGAATTTGTATAATGGAAAAAAAACACTTCATTAGCAAAATGCTGTAAAGCAAAAAGCTTTACAGCATGATAATAAAAAAGCTATGAGACAGGGATAACAACTGTGTTGAAAATGAAAATTTTTATTTCCGTGCAAAGCTTACAATGTGTGGTTTACATATTATAAAATATTAATTACAAAGAAGGCCACTAGCATGCCTAGGCATTTCGGGCAGACTTATCCTAATTCTTACTCTGTATTGACACAGGTTATGGAGCAGTATATTTTAATATACCTTATTGCATTCTGATATAAAAGTTAGGTAACTGAAGTGATTAATAGTGAGGTAGTACAAAACATAACAATATTACGGTTAGTAAATTTAGTAATGGGAATGGTTTTGTCTTGGCATGATACACTGTTTCTGTTAAAGCTTCTATATTGGGAGGGTATCTTAGGCAAACATAGGACTAACTTAAGATTTATTATTAGGAGTTTTATGTTTACAGTCATTTGGGTGAATGTAAGTGTAAATTAGGGGGTATTACAGATAAAGAGAGTAAGTCTGTTTTGTTTTGGATGTGTTCATAATACAAACAAGAGAATAGGTGGTTTTCACATAGCTGATGATGGGGTATGTTAGGAAGATAAGATGTTTTTTAATGGTAGTTTTGAAAATGGTGGTTGAGTCTGCAGTTCCAGAGTTTTCAGGCAGGGAGTTCCAGATTTTAGGCTCTTTTGTGTACATCAAATTTTTATAGAAATTTAGCTGTACATGAAGAATGTCATAGAGATCTTTGTGTCTGGTATTGTGTCTATGGGTCCTGTTGCAACTATCAAGAAAGTGTTTAGTTCAGGGTTAATATTAGAATTTATGGTTCTGTAAATGTAGGTTGCACAGTAGTAGGTGTGAATTTTTGTACAGTGAGTAAGTTTAGGTCTTTGAAGAGGGGGGGGGTGTTGTCTAACATTGGATTGCATGGTAATTCTTTCTGCAGCTTTTTGTTGGGTTATTATTGTCTTTACATGGATTGCTGCTGTTGATCCCCAGGCACAAATAAAATAAAATAAATAAAATAAAATAAAATATTTATTTCTTTGCTAAGGTTATGATGTATGTCTACATATCATAGTATGATTGGAGCAAAGAAAGCCACTATCGTGCTGAGGCATTTCGGGCAGACTTACCCTAATACTTATAGACTACTTAAGTCTAGACAGGTGAAGAGTGGTAGAATACAAACAGTTAATATTCACTCCATTGTTAATATGAGGTAGTACAATTTATGATACAGTCAATCATACATTTTTAAGTTTGTAATTAAGTTCATTTACTCTAGGAGGTAGGTGAGGTAGAGATATGTAAGTAAATAGTACAGTATAAATAAGGCTGATTGTGGTACACAGTAACGTATCTTGGAGAGGATCCCAACTGTTTTGGATACTTTTTTGTTATGTGTTGAATATGGGTGTTGAATTTCAGATTGCTGTCAAGGTGCATACCCAGGAATTTGCTCACATTATGTTTAGTAATCAGAGTGTTGTCAATAATAATGTTCAGCTGGGCATCACCTGTTCTGCTCCCAAACATAATGTAGGTTTTATCGGTATAAAGTGTAAGTTTATTAGCAGTCCTCCAGGTCGATATTTTTACTAGCTCTTCGTTAACTATGGTGTTGAGTGAGGCAAGATTAGGGTGGGAAATTACACAAGTTGTGTTGTCAGCAAAAAGAATAGGTCTTAGATGTTGTGATACATTAGAAAGATCATTAATGTATAAGAGGAAGAGCAGGGGACCAAGGACACTTTGCAGTGCTACTCCAGTATCCATTGGTCTTGTTGATGAGGTTGTGTCCTTAACAGAGGCATATTGATGTCAGTTAGTAAGGTAGGATTTGAAATATGTAAGTGCATGGCCTCTTATACAATAATGATCAAGTTTGTGGAGTAGGATGCTGTGGTCTGCTGTATAAAAGCTTTCCTTAGGTTGACAAAGAGTCCTAATGGATATTCATTTTTCAAGTGCTGTGTAAAGCAGGTCTAGCATTTTTACAATTGCGTCATTTGTGCTTTTGCTTTTCCTGAAGCCAAATTGACAGCGGTTGAGAATGCTTTGCACTGTTATAAAGGAATATAATCTCTTATGCATTGAGTTTCTCAAAGATTTTGGATAGCAACGGTAAGTTTGATATTGGCCTGTAGTTGTTTACATCTGTGGGGTCACCACCTTTTTGTATTGGTGTAACCCTTGCTATCTTGAGTAGTGTCGGGAAAGTGCTGGTTTCTAGTGATTTGTTAAAGAGTAATGAAATAGTAGGTGAAAGAACATGAGTTACTCATTTGTACAATGATAGTGGGACTTGAGCCAGATTTCCTGATTTATTTTTAAGCTACTTAATGATCATGATGACTTCTGTGGGCTCAATTGATGCAAGATAGAAGGAGGTTGGGAAATTCCCATCAAAGTAATCACTTGCTCAGGCATTGGTACCTGGGATTTTACTGGTGAGATTTATCCTATTGTGTATAAAACTAAACACCAGTTAAAGTGTACTGGAGTATGTAATAGTGCTGGCTGTAAAGTATGTTGAACTTTCAGGTTAAACATACATGTATGGCAGCTCATTTAATCAGCAAAGATACCTCTAAATTTAAAATTAAATGTTATAGCATTAACATGCAATAAGCAAAGCTAAATAAAATCCCAGTTTTCCTAAAACATAAAATTGCAAAAGTCATTGTACCCTCATACAAATAATCAGTAACTAATAATAATGTTATACAGTATGCCATTTTTATTTCATGAGGTTTATGCAGGTAAGTTTACTTTAGGCAATGGCATTTAAAGAGTGTTGTGTACACACTGCATTTCAGGCTAAACTTGAGCTAAAATATATTCCAAAGGTGGTTTAACAGTACAGTAGGAAAATGTATACAGTGGTACCTTGGGATACGAATTTATTTCATTCGAGAAAGCTGTTCGAGTGCAGATACCGAACGAATTTGTTCCCATAAGGAATAATGTAAATTAGATTAATCTGTTTCAGACCCCCAAAAATACACTTACAAAAGCACTTACATAAATACACTTCCATAATTGTTCAAGTTTTGAGCTGTTCGTATCCCGAGTACCACTGTATATGGTTATGTATTTAAATTGGACCACAACAACTCAAACCAGAGAGGTAGAATGTATGATAATGTAACTTGTATTGGACCATCAATGATACATTTACATATGTACCTTATCTCGAGTGCAGCCGAGTTTGTGGTCATTGTTGGGGACATACTCCTGATACACCCAAACTTACATAAGTTGTTGTAGTACAGTAGGTAAGTTTTACTTCTGTGCATGGTACCCTGGTAATGGCTAGGGTGGCAGACATTGCCAGAGCAGTTTCTTAATGGTTGAGCTTGTAATGTTTGTTAATACAACATGAAACCTTTTCAAGTGTGAAATAAGCATGTAGAATTGTTGAAATACTTTATTCACATATGTACCTTAGCTTAAGTACAGTTGGGTTTGTGGTCATTGTTGAGGTATATTCCTAATGCCAAATCTTATATAGGCTGCCATAGCATAGTGGGTAAGTGTTACTGAGGTGACAGGCAGTCTAGGTTCAAGTCATTTATAGCTGAGGTTGTAATGTACATGTACATGTATATTTCATTTTATAGGCAAATCATGTGATCCTAACTAACAGTCAATGATTGTTTTGACAAACAAATAGGATGTAAGTTCATTACTGCTATTGGGAATTAAGAGATTACTGAAAAGTTATAGATGTTACGATGTGGATTAATAACATACTGGTTGAGGTTGGCACTCATCCAGGATTCCTGTAGGACTTAGGAGTGACAAGGTCACTGACATCACTCTTCCCCCTAACCATGCCTGCAGGTGATCCAGTCTCCCTTACCCAAAATAAGACCCTGGCTTAGAACAGATAAACTGTTCTTATCTTAAGAAACTGTAGTGACATGATTACAAACAAACCATGGAATGGGTGAGGTTTTACAGCTCTCTTGCCATAGGTTCAAACCCCACCCATTTTGTGATATGTTAAACTGTTTTTAGTTTGCTGTCTATTAAATTTACAGATAGTTATTTGTAAAAAATGGATACCAATATAACTACAGGCTGACCATCAGTAACTATGTTAACAATATCAGTGACCTCTGATTCAGATTGTATGGTTTGAAAACTTATCTAGAAATTATTCTAGAATACGTAAACTGTGATGAGTATAAATGTTACTGTAAGAGGTCAGTGGGAAGGTTACTAATAGGATAAACACTTTATATACAAGGCAATTCTGCTCACATAGTTTTTATAGCAATGTCGCATTGTAACACCGTGTTCCAAGCTACAGTACTACTGTACATATTTGGCCAGATACTATACAGTTCTTACTTGGTATACATTTATAGCTAATGTATACAGGAAGTGAGCCCATAGGTAACTGTGGTGAGATTGCAGTTCCTTCAAGACGTGAAAGCTGAGTTACACATCTCCCCTTGAGGGAGGTTCCTTGATGCTGGTGAGGGGCTCTTGATCTTAGGAATTGGAACTGTGCTCCTCTTCCTTTGATTGAATTCCTGCAGGCACTGTATGATCCTTACTGGTTTAATGCTTCCTCCCATGACTATAAAATATGTATGAGTTGTACACCTTAGAACCATCTCTCTCTCACTAGTGTCACCTTGTAGAGATGTCAAACTACATTTAATTATCACTGTAGGCAAACTTTCACACTTAATTACACTACAAAGACCACAGGGCCACCATGACTCTCCATTCCTTTCTTCCTCCTTCCTTTCTTCCTTCCTTTCTTCCTCCTTCCTTTCTTCCTTCCTCTCTTCCTCCTTCCTCCCTTCATGTGCCACAATGTCTCAGTTGGGTATGCATTTTCTCAATTTACCTTTAAATTTACAACTTAAACTTCAAAAATTCCAACTTTTGACTTACCTATAAGTGACAAAATTCACACTCTTCTCTTAACAGTATTAACAATATTCATACTGAATTTAAATAAGAGTATCATTACATTTTTAAATCTTTTCACAAGATATATGACCCACCTTATATGTACAAAATATTCACTTAATAAACTGTAGGGTCACACAGTTACACTCTTATTATTCACATAGTATTTCCCTAGCATTTTACACAAGTTATCCAAATTAAATACATTATTATAAAATGTCTCACACAATGACAGGACAGTCGCATCCTGGACAACTGTGTCCCGGTCAAATGCGTGCCATTCATTGGCATCCCTGGACACTTGCATCTGTTTTTTTTTTTTTTTTTTTTCATCCTGGATGAGTGTGTCCCAATATATGTATATTTTATATTACATGTAATTTTTTATGCATAGGTTAGGATAGACTAGCATGCAGTATGCATTTTATTGATTAAAAAAATTAATATGTAAATCCAAACTTAAAAAGTATGCATGTCGTGGGCAACCCCTCATAAGAAACATGATTTGTCCTCATTTGCCTGCAATTACCTTAATTGATGAAACAGTTTCTTTTTCGAGTTGAGATAAGAGGCTTAGCATATATAACATGGAGTTTATTACCCAGTAATACAGTAGTTACATATAGTGGAACGCAAATGACCGGGATGCAAAAAAATGGATGTAAATGTCCAGGGACAGCAATGACTAGGATGCATTTGACTGGGATACAATCATCTGGGATGCAAATACCCTAGTACTGTCTCACACACCCTCCTCCTAAACTAAACAGATTCCCTCCTTAATGTAAATATAAATTATAGTTAAAACTGAATCGTCCATAAAATATATCAAATTTTCCACAGTTGCAATAACTGCAAAAATCAATTTGTACATCACACAATTAATACTATATTTAAACGATGTTAAATGCAGTAATGCTAACTAAATTTAAGTTAAACTAACATAGGTTGGTAAATAAGAGATTATATTGCTTTTAATTTTTGCAAAGTTAGGTGAGGCTGCTAAGGTAGTTCATAACTAGCTTTTCATTTCAGTATTAATGCTATTATAGTCACATTTTTAAAAACAGGTAGTGTGAATTTTCATTACAATGATTATGACTTGAAATAAAAACCATCCGACTGCCTTGAGTTCATTTTACACTGCTTCACCTCTCATCATTCACTGAAGGCTTACTAAGGAAGTATGCATTAGCATTTTTATCTCTCTCCTTGGAATGTATTTCACTGTACATAATGGAAGTCTATGGGAAGACATGACTCACTCTACAGAAATCTGCTGTATTTAATGTTTGTTTCAGAATGCAAACTCTTTGTTAGCAGGAATAGCCTTTAATGATGAAAAAAATATTAACAAATAGTAGTGAAGCAAACATAAACATAGGGGAGTACCTTCATACATTAACTATAATGTCAAAATACTGTAAAAAGGAAACATGTTATTATTATAACAATATTCTAAATAAAAATATTTATTTCAGATCCCAAAACTCGCCATGTCATACAACGGAAATACAAATCTGCAATGGTAAGTTGCATTAATGATTCCATGTTGTGAAGAAAATTATTTTTTTAATTTAAGTATACATATTTTAATTTAAAAATAATGTATCATTTACAGCTTTAAAGTAAGGAGCCCATGACAGTCAATCTTGGTACAATTCCAAAATGCTAGCCAATTTTATATGCTCTTTGACACACACTAAATTCGTTTTATATTTATTATTGCACTTACACCTTGCTGAATGCTGCTTTCAGTAACTGCTGCCACATTGCATTTTTGGTACTCTGACTACTCCATCTTTAGAATTTGTTTTCAAACTTTCATACTCCCACGAATGCTTTGTTAAACCTGAACCCGTCTGGGTTGGTCAGCATACCTGGTAATAGCATACCTCAGTTGAGTGAAAGTAAGGCCCCTTCTGGCTGGGTAGCCAGCAATTTATTTTTTTTTTTTTTAACAAATCAGCTGTCTCCCACCGAGGCAGGGTGACCCAAAAAGAAAGAAAATCCCCAAAAAGAAAATACTTTCATCATCATTCAACACTTTCACCTCACTCACACATAATCACTGTTTTTGCAGAGGTGCTCAGAACACAACAGCTTAGAAGTATATATGTATAAAGATACACAACATATCCCTCCAAACTGCTAATATCCCAAACCCCTCCTTTAAAGTGCAGGCATTGTACCTCCCATTTCCAGGACTCAAGTCCGGCTATATAAAAATAACCGGTTTCCCTGAATCCCTTCACTAAATATTACCCTGCTCACACTCCAACAGCTCGTCAGGTCCCAAATACCATTCATCTCCATTCACTCCTATCTAACATGCTTACTCACGCTTGCTGGAAGTCCAGGCCCCTCGCCCACAAAATCTCATTTACCCTCTCCCTCCAACCTTTTCAAGGATGACCCCTACCCCGCCTTCCTTCCTCTACAGATTTAAACGCTCTCCATGTCATTCTACTTTGATCCATTCTCTCTAAATGACCAAACCATCTCAACAACCCCTCTTCAGCCCTCTGACTAATATTTTTATTAACTCCACACCTTCTCCTAATTTCCACACTCCGAATTTTCTGCATAATATTTACACCACACATTGCCCTTAGACAGGACATCTCCACTGCCTCCAACCGTCTCCTTGCTGCAGCATTTACAACCCAAGCTTCACACCCATATAAGAGTGTTGGTACCACTTTACTTTCATACATTCCCTTCTTTGCCTCCATAGATAACGTTTTTTGTCTCCATAAATACCTCAACGCACCACTTACCTTTTTTCCTTCATCAATTCTGTTATTAACCTCATCCTTCGTAAATTCATCTGCTGATACATCAACTCCCAAATATCTGAAAACATTCACTTCTTCCAATTTTTCTTTATCTAAATCATTTGATACCCTCATCACCTTACTCTTTTCTATGTTCACTTTCAACTTTCTACCTTTATGCACTCTCCCAAATTTTTCTTTAGAATCTCCCATAAGCACAGTATTATCAGCAAAAAGTAACTGTGTCAATTCCCACTTTTGTATTTGATTCCCCATAATTTAATCCCACCCCTCTCCCGAACACCCTAGCATTTACTTTTTTTACAACCCCATCTATAAATATATTAACCCGTAAACGGTCCAAGCAGATCTACGTTCACATGTGTAGTGCTACAAAAGTAGATCTACGTTTTTTTACATATTTTCAAATATAAAAAAAAAAGTAGATCAAAGTTTTTTACACATTTTCAAATGTAAAAAAACAAAAAGAAGATCTACTTTTTTTACATACTTTCAAATGTTGAAAAAACGTATATATACGTTTGGACCGTTTACGGGTTAAACAACCATGGTGACATTACACATCCCTGTCTAAGACCTACTTTTACTGGGAAGTATTCTCCCTCTCTTCTACACACCCTAACTTGAGCCTCACTATCCTCATAAAATTTCTTTACAGCATTTAGTAACTTACCACCTATTCCATATATTTGCAACATCTGCCACATTGCTCCCCTATTCACTCTATCATATGCCTTTTCTAAATCCATAAATGCAATAAAAACTTCCCTACCTTTATCTAAATACTGTTCGCATACTGTATATGCTTCAATGTAAACGCTTGATCTACACATCCCCTACCTACTCTAAAACCTCCTTGCTCATCTGCAATTCTATATTCTGTCTTACCTCTAATTTTTTTCAATAATAACCCTACCATACACTTTTCCTGGTATACTCAGTCAACTAGTTCCTCTATAATTTTTACAGTCTCTTTTGTCCCCCTTCCCTTTATATAAAGGAACTATACATGCTCTCTGCCAATCCCTAGGTACCTTCCCCTCTTTCATACATTTATTAAACAAAAATACCCCTGTATCCCCCCTGCTTTTAACATTTCTGTCATGATCCCATCAGTTCCAGCTGCTACCCCCTTTCATTCTACATAATGCCTCATGCACCTCCCCCACACTCACATCCTGCTCTTCTTCACTCTTAAAAGATGGTATACCTCCCTGGCCAATGCATGAAATTACCGCCTCCCTTTCTTCGTCGACATTTAAAAGTTCGTCAAAATATTCCCGCCATCTACCCAATACCTCCATCTCCCCATCTACTAACTCCCCTACTCTGTTTTTAACTGGCATATCCATTCATTCCCTAGGCTTTCTTAACTTGTTTAACTCACTCCAAATTTTTTTCTTATTTTCATTAAAATTTCTTGACAGTGCCTCTCCCACTCTATCATCTGCTCTCCTTTTGCACTCTCTCACCACTCTCTTCGCCTTTCTTTTACTCTCCATATACTCTGCTCTTCTTATAACACTTCTGCTTTGCAAAAACCTCTCATAAGCTACCTTTTTCTCTTTTATCACACCCTTTACTTCATCATTCCACCAATCACTTCTCTTTCCTCCTGCACCCACCCTCCTATAACCACAAACTTTTGCCCCACATTCTAATACTGCATTTTTAAATTATTCCAACCCTTTTCAACCCCCCCGTACTACTCATACTTGCACTAGCCCACCTTTCTGCCAATAGTTGCTTATATCTCACCCAAACTTCCTCCTCCCTTAGTTTATACACTTTCACCTCTCTCTTATTTGTTGTTGCCATTTTCCTCTTGTCCCATCTACCTCTTACTCTAACTGTAGCTACAACTAAATAATGATCCGATATATCAGTTGCCCCTCTATAAACATGTACATCCTGGAGCCTACCCATCAACCTTTTATCCACCAATACATAATCTAACAAACTACTTTCATTACTTGCTATATCATACCTTGTATATTTAATTATCCTCTTTTTCATGAAATATGTAATACTTATTACCAAACCTCTTTCTACACATAGCTCAATTAAAGGCTCCCCATTTTCATTTACCCCTGGTACTCCAAATTTACCTACTACTTCCTCCACAACATTTTTACCCACTTTAGCATTGAAATCCCCAACCACAATACTCTCACACTTGGTTCAAAACTCCCCACGCATTCACTCAACATTTCCCAAAAATCTCTCTTTCTCCGCTACATTTCTCTCTTCTCCAGGTTCATATATGCTTACTATAACCCACTTTTCACATTCAACCTTTATTTTACTCCACATAATCCTTGAATTAATACATTTATAGTCCCTCTTTTCCTGCCATAGCTTATCCTTCAACATTATTGCTACTCCTTCTTTAGCTCTAACTCTGTTTGAAACCCCTGACCTAATTAAAAGATCAAAACACAATTCACAAACACAGATAGCTTGTAGGAGAGAAGTGGAACTGAACACGTATTCACGAAACTGGGATAGTGGTGTTGGAGTGTGGGAGGGCAGGGGATGGCGGGAGGTCTTCCTCGCTGACCCACAACAAGGTAGCTGCTTGAGGTAGGGAATGGCCACCACCACTTCAAATTCAAATTCATTTATTTCTTTTCAAGTTTACAATGATATTAGATTGACATGTTGTAGGGAGTTGTATTTACATAGATAGTTTACAGTGTATATTTACAATAATGATTTGCAGTACAAAGAGAGCCACTATCATGCTTTGGCATTACGGGCAGTCTAAATTTAATGGTTTACAGACTACTTAGTACTAGACAAATAGATTGTAGTTTGTTAAAGTTGTACATCTTTGTGTATATATAACAAATAGTAAATTGACTCAAATTGCAATATGGGAACATTACAATAGGAGAAGTTGGAAGTAGTAGGTTGTGTACCTACCTGCTATCATCCCTTACCCATTATCCAGATTCCATAATATGGGGGATAACTCCTACTTATTGTTTATTTGCTAGTGTGTGCATGTGCTGATGTCTGGCACATCACTCTGGTATCCACTAAGATAAATATCATAAAAGCTAGCCTGATGTTATTAACATGAAGATTAATTTCACAAAACTGTCTGAAAGATGAAAGCCTTTGGCCACTTGTTCATTGGTACAAATGCTCCATCACTAAAGTAGAACATAAGTTGGACTGATTTGAAAGGTTTTTAGGTTTTGGGGAAGAAACCACGGCAGACTAATGAAGAGTTTTAAAAAAAAGTTGGTAAAAATTTTAACTTAAAGATAGTGTGGAAGCCCAGGTAAGAAGAGAGGGTGTAAATCCTAATATTTTGAACTGAAGACCCAATAAAACCTCAAGTTTCCATCTTAGGGATGATCCTCAAAGAAAAATCTGAGGAAATTCATCTACAGTAGAACTGTCATACAGTTGTACTGCAGTGCTCACTGCTTTTGAAGCTAGGCTGCTTAAATTCCACCATTTGCAGATTAGCATTTTAAAAAATGTAGTGGTAGGTTCTTCATCATTGTAACCAGCTATTCCATATTCTGAAACTAATCTTTCTCAGCTGATTTGCTAAGGGTTAATTTTCACTGTTCACAAACTACCATGCATAACTGTAACCATGGCCTTTCCAGTTTTTTAACACACTAGCAGTCTCCTATGAAGGTAAGGTGACTAAGAAGAAGAAAACATTCACCATTATTCATTCATTTGCTATCTTGCCAGAATGTGCTGACACCACAGTTCAGATGACCCTCCAAACGACAGTGTCCTTATCCCTCCTTTAAAGTGCAGATACTGTACTTCCCACCTCCAGGACTCAAAGTCTGGCTGACCAGTTTCATTCAAACCCTTCATAAATGTTATATAATTCATACTCAAACACACATCAAACCATGAAAATCACTTGTCTTTTCTCTATCACTTCTAACCTGCTCTCATAAATCTGCTGAATGTTTTAAATACCCAAACCATGTAAGCAACATTTCCTCAGTTTTCTGAATCATACTTTTGGTAACCCTATACTATACCATCTTCTAATCTCCATGCACAAAATTCTCAGCATAATATTCACACCACATATTACTTGCCACAAACATGACATCCCCACTGCCTCTAGCTACTTTCTCACTGCATTATTTAACCCTTTGACTGTTTCGGTCGTATATATACGTCTTATGAGGTACCGTGTTTCACGTATGTATACTCATAAATTCTAGCGGCTTCAAATCAAGCAGGAGAAAACTGGTAGGCCCACATGTGAGAGAATGGGTCTGTGTGGTCAGTGTGCACCATATAAAAAAAATCCTGCAGCACGCAGTGCATAATGAGAAAAAAAAAGACTTTTTTTTTAATTAAAATGCTGACTTTGTGGTCTATTTTCATATAGTATTTATGGTTGTATTCTCGTTTTCTTGGTCTCATTTGATAGAATTGAAAACATATTATAGAAATAGATTTGATTTTGATTGGTTTTACTATAAAAAGAACCTGGAAATGGAGCTCAAAGGAGGGGAAATGTTTGATTTTTGCCGATGTTCAAAAGTAAACAAATGATGTCATTGTCCAATAAATGTCCAACTAGCCATTCTAATATGCAGTCGTGAATAGGTTGACATTATTTGTACAATTATTACAGTATTGCAGTAGTCTGCATAACAGTAAATCTTCTATTTTTTGTTTGAATAAAAATTCAAAATAGAAAGCAAGAGTAATATCAGAGGGGCCTGGAGACATGACTGATGAACAAAGAAAATGTTATTTTAGAGCCAGGAATGTCTGCATTGTTCATTTTGGACCTTATTTTGAAATTGTCATATTTTTTAATTTTCATGAAATTGGCCAAATTGGGCAAATTGCAAATTTCTGACCACGTTATTGGGTAGTTGAAATCGGTAAATGGGCAGTTTCTTGTACTCAGTCGATAGAAAAAATGGAGTTCTAAAGAAATACTTATGAGTTTGGTCGACTGGAACAATGGAATTAGCCGAAAATAGGCTCAAAGTGGGCGAAATCGCCATTTTGTAAATATCGCCTAGGTTGCTAACTTTGCGAGAACGTAATTCCGTCAGTTTTCCATCAAATTTCGGGTTTTTTTTGGTGTCATTACAATCGGGAAAAGATTCTCTTATCATTTCATAAGATTTTTTTTTTTTTTTTTTTTTTTTTCCGGCACCAGGAGACACCTCAGGATTGGGGGTTGCTACAGTCAAGGGGTTAAGGCCCATGCCTCACACCCACATAAAAGTGTTGGCATCACTATACTGGTACTGTTTTCTTTATGCCTTCATAGATAAATTTCTATCATTTCACATATGCCTCAACACATCAGCAACCATTTTCCTCCTTTCTGTTCTGTAGTTCACTCAATCTTTTATAAAAACATCTGCTGACATCTCCACTCCTAAATATCTAAATATATATTTGCTCTGTATAGTATCATTTGTATGCTTTTAAATAAGTTTATTTTTTATTGTTGGAGCAATGTGAATAGTATGCTTATTACTCATGAGTCAGGCTAAGCCCCATTAGATCTAGCCAGCAACTGGATTTGTAACCATTATTGGTTAAGAGGACCTTGACAGGTTATGGGTTTCCCCATTTATTGTAGTTCTATGGCTCACAAAATCATAATGACACAATTGCAAACAAACCATACCACAGGCAGGGCTTGAACCTGCAGTAGAGAGTCGTAAAACTCCAGACCAACTGGCTTATTGTAGCCAGCTGGCCCAGTGGCTAACATGTCGGTCTGGAGTTTTACGACTCTCTACCGCAGGTTCAAGCCCCACCCATGGTATGGTGTATTGTAGTTCTAATTGTTATGTGGGAATGCGAGTATTGGAGGTCCCTGGAAACTATTAGTTTTAAGTGTTTGTATTTAAGTTTGTCCTCCTAAGAATTGCTGATATTTCATTTTAGTTCAAGACTGTCATATGTATGATGTTGACACCAGAATGAAAACATGATTACTTGCCAATGTATTTTACAGTCTGCTTAGAGGGTCCCTGTTTTCTGTTTGTACAGTGGACCCCCGGTTAACGATATTTTTTCACTCCAGAAGTATGTTCAGGTGCCAGTACTGACCGAATTTGTTCCCATAAGAAATATTGTGAAGTAGATTAGTCCATTTCAGACCCCCAAACATACACGTACAAACGCACTTACATAAATACACTTACATAATTGGTCACATTCGGAGGTAATCGTTATGCGGGGGTCCACTGTACTTCAAAAAGTTATATTGCCTTTATGAATTATGGCATTTATTGGTACTGTGGTTTGTTATATACTGTAATTAGTTTAATTTTTCTAATAGACAACAGTCTAACTTAAGCTGACCTATATAATGTATATCAAGAAATTTGCTTGAAAAAGTATTTATGTAAGAAATGAATATTGGCTTTAAGAGGACAAGTTAAAGATTTAATATGACATCAAACAAGCCACAGTAGGCTAGCTACTTAATATGTAACATAAATTAACAGATGCCATTTTTTTTAGTTAAATTCAAGTGCCAGATCATTAGGTTGTGCATGGTAACTTAATAATTGTTCACCTTGATTGGTGAATATACTGTACACATTTCTAGAGAGCACTGCTGGGTGTTCCTAACATTATTCACCACTTATTACACTAATTCAAAAGTTTTCCACAGGCAGACCAGATTTGCTATGCAGTACTGTGTGTGTTCTCGTACATGGCTGCAGGCAGTGAACAGAAGAAAATGGAAGTGGCCCAAGAACATGCTAAACTTGCTGCAGCTGCTGCTGCTGCTGCTGCTGCTGCTGCCTCAGCTGCTGCCTCTCATAGGAGGCAGTGAACAAAGAAGCCAAGAGTGTGATTCATATGCAGCTTCATATATGTATGAACAAGTGTTTTCATTGAGAGTAAATAAAAGTTTCCATGATCAGATAATACAAGTTACTGAAATTTACTACATAGTTCTCAAAACCTTCAGGAAGAGGTTAGATATATTTACACATAAAAATTTTGCAGTTGGTGAATATTACATATTCCATTGAAAAAAGTAGAGGTACACACGTATATTTCATTTATAATCATGATCAAAATGCAATAACAATTATAGTACTGTAGCTTTAAAATTGCAATGTATAATGGTAAATATTAAACTTATCAGGAATCAAATTCTTAACATTTTTATGATGAATAATTAAACTATTACTCGTGATTATTTAAATTAACATTCCAGTTTGTCTCAGTTAAATTAATTAATAGGATTGTATTCCTGATAAAGCTTATTTGGAAATATTTTACAGCTTTTTTCATTTGAATATCTTGAAATAAATGCAGTCAGTCATACTAAAGAAATTCATATAAAGGATAATTTACAAGCAGTGCATGAGTCATAATTATAAAGAAATTTATAATAACACAAGCGCTCATAAAATATAATTGTTTAAGAAAAAAATACTTTAAAGCTTTACCGTTAGTGAACCGAGGATAAATATCAAAACTAAAAATTTTTGGATAGATTTATTGTACATTTTCAAAGAACTCCAGTGCATCTCTTCAATAAACAAACCAAAGAATTAGCCTACAAACTGCAACTATGATACTACAGGTCAGCCATCACTAATCCAGCATCATTGGGACCTGTAGTGTGCCAGATTAGTGAGTTTGCCAGATTACAGAATGGTTAGGTAAGAATACACTTAATTAATCTATCAATAGAGACTCTGCTACATCTTCCTCATTTTCATCACTGCTTTCTCCTCTACTGGCTTCCTGCTGTGGATTTACAACCATCTGGACAATTTCTGAGTCAGTATAATGATGAAATTTGAAATTATTCTAGCCAAAATTAGTGCCTGATTACTGATGGAACCGGACAACTGATTGCTGGATTAGTGATGGCTGACCTGTAGTAATTTTAAACCCAACTGTATCATTTTAATGTTAGAGATTGTATGTGAAGTCTGTAAAAAAAAAAAATATTTTGATAAACACTGGTAGTGCACTGGTGCTGTAAAACTAGCATGTAATAATTTTAGTATACTTAATAATTTTTACAATGGATGTTGTAAATGTTTTGAAAATTATGTGTAAACTATTGTACATTGTGTAGATAATTTGCATACTGTTACTGTAAGTAAATATGTCTTGCGTGCAAGCCTATAAATGTGTACGTGTTTTGTTATTTGAGTTCGTAAGGTGTGTAACTAGAAATCAGTGCCTACCACACAGATATCTATATCTTAGATGTAGACTAGTTTAGTGAAAGGTTGAATGATACTTCTTTTACCTAGATTAGGTTTGTAGGTACTGTATATGATCCTATTAAATTTTTTATAAATACAATATATGGAGTTTGAAGATAAAAAACATAATTTTTTACAGTGGGATATGAATAAATGTGAAGTAAATAATATTGCAATTCAGTAGCTAATACTTTGTATAATATTTCTTAAACAATTCTTCTACATAAAGTTGGCAATATTAACTCTTAGGTCTTTAATTTCTCTCTTTGTATGTGTTTATGTAAAGTCTTACTCATAGGTTACAAACAGCGTTATTCTAGGTGAACATATTCTTCAGTAGTGCAAGACTTACTTGAAGCAATATATTTAGCAAAATTATAAGCTAGAGGTTTTAAATTTAAAATTACAGTACATCATCAGTTATCAAGAAAAAGGCGAGTCAAATTTTTAAAAACATTGAATAATCACATTATTTTTTTTTTAGTCCCCGTTGGTTGCACATCCCTTTTTCATGTGTTGAAGTGTCTGTACGAAAGAGAAAGTCGATAATTTTGGCTGCTGATAATCCATGCTTTACTGTACTTGGTTAGTAATTGTGGAGGTAATATTTCCATCAGGTGCTTCAAACATGTTGCAAAAGAATTTAATTGAGCTTTCTATTAATTATGGCAAATATTTTACGAGCATTTGTTGAAGTTTACAATACTGTGTATTTATGTATGTGCATTAGATAAATACTGAGTTACAATTGTATACACAAAATTTATTTGTTGATGCAATAATACATGAAAAGATAATTACAATATATTTTATGTCATCCAAATCATAATGTTCTCCAAGTGCTGCATGTATCAGTTAATACATAAAGGAATTTATTTATACAATGTTTTATACACACTATTTTTGTATTTATAAGTACTTTGTAACAATTTTGTTATGTTGATGTCCAGACCTTCACTATTTTACATTTAACCCAAGAGGAAGGTGCATAAGTGCAACTTAGCTGTGTCATACTGTGTAGTACTAGAGTACCTAGTACTTGTGTACTATTTTGTATGAAGGGTCATAAAAGGAGGAGCATTTGTGTGTATGCCTTACTTGTTTTTTGCCTGCATTATCCTGTATGATGGTTCATCAAAAGAGGAGAGTTCGTATCTATCCCCTGTTGCCTGTTCGTTTCTCTACTATCCTGTATATCTCATCAGAAGAGGGTTCATATCTATCCCATACCTGTTCACTTCTTACTATCCTGTATGATGGTTCATCAGAGGAGGAGGACTTGTAAGTACATGTATTACCTATCTGCTCACATCTGTACTTTCCTATATGATGGTTTATCAAAAATGCTACCATCACTTCCTATTAGTTTTCCCTCCTGGGCTACATTAATCATTCTTAGGGCATGGTATATATACAGCCCCACTTTTGCACTTTTCAAGGTATAACAACTTTTATTATTTTGCTAAGGGTTAGTATGTAATAATAGTAAAGTTTTCATTTTATTCTAAATTTCATGGTCATGTTCTAAGTACAGTAACTGATTGCTCTCATAGACAATAATTGTTTTCATAGACTATATTTTTATCAGTGTATAATTATTGTTCTTTCTGTTACTCTTACTATACACAATACCTGCTTTTGCCAAAGAATTACATAGCAAAATTAATTAGGTTCAACTGCATATTATATAAACTATGTGTGCACATCATGTTTCCTCTGCAGCCAAGTGGCTGTATATTCTTACATTACTTTTAATTTGTAAAATATATTTTAAAATATACAATATTTTTCATGTACATTTATGAGAAAATTAAATAATATTCAGCAACTGATAAATTATTTTTTTATTCTTTGTTTCTGTAATATATTTTAGTTTCCGTGTTATTCATTTTGAAGAATTTATGTAAAATGATGTTGAGACTTATGTCAGCTGTCCGTTATGCCAGAAATTATGCCCTTTGTCAGGTACTAGCTAATCATAGTGTAAATGCATGCTGCATCAGTGGTGCTTGAAAATTATGATATAGTATTTTACCACATCTGAAACATCAGTACAGTATTGTATACAGAAACATGAAATAGTGATAACACTGCAGGATGCATGGAAAGCTTCTAAATTATTATTGCATATGTATTAAACTGTACACAGTACATGTTTTGTAAAAAACTACTCCATGTATTTCATTATTGGTATTTTAGCATTCATTAGAAAATATACTTGTCTGAAAACTGATTATATGCAAATCTTTATTCATAATCATTTTAAACTTGCCCGAACACTGAAATATTTTGTTTACAGGAATGAAAATTTGTGTTCCTCTAATACAAAAGAGGTAAACATGGACTCTTCTTGCATCAGCCAATTTATTATTGAGATCTGTTTTAGTGGCATGTGTGTGGAATTTAGTAATATTTTCAGAATTCAGAAACAATGTTATTTTTCATGTAACTATGTGCCTTTAATAATATAAAAAATAGTTATTTTTTCCCTTAACTGGATAAATCTTTTAAGCTTTTGATATGGGCAGGCAACATCTAATATTATTTTCCTGATCAGATCATTATTTCTCAAGATGATGTAATCTGTCTGTTTCCTGACAGACAGAGATGAAGGTGCTTTACTAGTAATTAAACTGTTTCCTTGTTCTATTGGGTTCAGTCTTTTCCAGGAATATACGGAATAATCGTTCTTTTATTACAGTAGGTGACTTAGCAGTTTTATGCATTCTTTATAACATAAAAAGATCCTAAACCTATCCTAATCTAGCCTACCCTTATCTAACCTAATCTTTCCAGAAATATAATTATAATCCTCATCCTATTAAGTGAGATAGCAGTCTTCATGTGGTCTTCAAGTGTTACAGATTTAAATGTCTTGTTTTCCTGTATTATTATTATATGCATCTGTTAAAGAATTCAAGATTGTCATGTATCTAAAATTATGATGCAATAAATAACTGCTGTAGTTCTTTCAATATCTTGACTATACCATTTTCAACATGTAGAATTTTTGTAATTTCTTATCCAAGAGATGAGTGGTTAAATTTATTCCTTAAATATGCAAATCATGTGATTTCCAAGTCGTGCAGAGAAACTCTCTACATGATTTACACAGTATATAAAAATAGTCCTAATGGTGTTTGTGGCCATGTCTACACAACATATTGTTCCTTGTAAAAGAAATAAAGTTGCTATATTCAGATTGATACAGTTTTAAAATTTATAAATTTCCTGAAAAAAAAAAAATCACGTATTTTATCTCTCAAACAAGAATGTCACATAATATACTTGTACAGTATATTACAGTCTTTGATAAGAATAATGCACTTGCACTACATTCATCTTAAAAGTAGAATCTCGTAACATTGTACACAGAACTCTTCATGATAATTGTATTCAAGTTTACCAAGGTAGTCTACAGTATAGCATCCAACTACGTACATAAAATATTCCAGCTAACCAGGAGCTTAGTAATATAATAAACTCTGTATTCATCAACAGTTAATCAAGGCACTCCAATACAGCAAAAATTAAAGAATTACCGTCAGCTTTCTTAGAAAATTTCTCTATACGGTACATTTATTGTAAATTCAACTAATAAAACGTATCCAAAATTTAAAAGCACATGGGAAGGCCCTCATAATACATGCTGTTCAATTTTCAATGCACTTCTTCAACTGCATTTAAAAAAATTTACTATGTAGAATAACTTTGTATGCTTACCATAGCCATCAGTTTTCAAATATAATTATTCTTGACATACATGTCAAGACACATGTTAATTTCTAAGTAAATTCTTCATCTTGGTATCAGATTTAAAGTAAGACTGGATATTAACACTGCATTGAATAATACATATTTAATGTCTTCATTAATAGCTAATCCCTAAACATTTAGAAACACGTTTCCTATTAGATCACTACAAAATTATGTGCCGTGTTGACTTCTCTGATATATCATCATTGAAAAGTGTAGTAAAACCCTCAGGATACAAACCTTGATGTTTGATTTGATGACATTCAAGTTCTTATATTGGAAACTCATTTCCTGTTAAACCTCCTGAGCCAGAGGTGTTCTTAAGTAACTTAACCCCTTTAGTGAATAACTGAAGCAGTTCTCTTCAAAAACCAGGTGTATCAGGGCACAATTCAACCCTATTATCATCTCAAAGTTCTTACCAACTCCTTTTACATTTTGTTGAAATGACTTGTGTGATACTTGGACATGAAGTTGGTTTATACCCCTATCACTTTGATTAATGGAGAGGCTGTCCTTCTATAGATCTTTAATGGTATCTTGATAAATACATTTGCAGTGCTTTTCCTGAACGCTAACTTCTTGATATGGCCATCTTTTCCAATCTAGAGGATGTATATGACACTTTATCCACAGTTCATGCTTTTGACATAAGCGGCCTCCTCTTTTAATGCTTAAGTTTTTTTTTGACTTGAGACATTTTTTCAGGATCATAGAAGTCTTTCTCAAAACTTTATTAATGCTGAAGGGATGTACAATTCAGGATATTTTGACAATGGTAGTGAAGCATTTCCTTTAATAAATGCTCTGAACTGTGTATATGGGGGACCAGGTATTAGCCTGCTTTTACAGCTACTCTTTCTGGACTTTATTGTCAAGAACTTTATGAGTTTGGGGGTCTCTTGGTCATTCCTGGTTGAAAGTTTGTATCCAGAGTTTTTATGTCCATTCATTATGGAATTACCAAGATGCTTGTTGTGTCTATCATCTTTATTTTCACTGCCTTCAGGATTCTATTGATGAATTATCTCTGATGATAATAAAGTTAATACCTTTGACCATAGTCCCTCTTTATGTCCCTTCAAACTATCCTTCCAGACCCTTTGTGGAATCGCTTTGTCTACCATACCTTTCTTTTGTTTCTGTCTTTTATGTTTTTTTCTCTCGTCTTTGGAAGCCTTTGTGGTTCAAGTCTGCCATTGACTCTTTGCATTACCAAAGCCTTGCATCTTTGCCATGGACTCCCTCTTGCCCTTCAGCATTTCTTAGGGCATTGCCATGCTACTGTTGTGAACACAAATGACTTCAAATCCTCTGCTGTATGGGATATCCAAATCAAATCATAGAATGGGTGGGACTTGAGTCTATCATTATCAATAAAACAAGACCTGGCTGTTTTTGTACTTTCATTTTATGATCTTATTGATGAATAAATCACACGATAAGTGTCGTTTAACATGCTAAAGTTGACCATGATACCATTGTGCAACTTAGACATGATTAGGAACAGTTATTTGTGTATCAAGACTAGGGCCATAAAAATTGTACAGTTAAACCTTGTTTAATGATTGATTGAAAATCCAGCCTGTACAACTACATATATTAATTATTCAGTGATAAAATTATCCATATTTTTAAAGGATATGAATTTCATTGGGATTTGAAAAACCTTAAGTAGAAACATCACTTCTATTTTCATGGGAAATACTAAACCTGAAGGAATTATACAATTCCCTTGGGAATAAGGTATACGTGGAGGGTATTTCGGGGGTCAACACCTCCGTGGTCTGGTTCATGACCAGACGATCAGGTCTGGACTAAAAATCCTTCCAAAACATTAAGGTGCCCCTTTTCCATTGAAAGGAAGAACAGGAACAGCTTATAACCTTTTTATGGTTTGTATCCCAAGTGTTTTATCTTATTCACTATTAGCACAATGTTTAACCCTTTGAGAACTTAATTTATTATTGCTGTGTTTTTAAATTGGGTGCCTCCAAAAAATGCAGTACTGTATTAGAAATGCTGAGCTTGATCAGAGTTGAATAATATCTGGCAAGTCTGTAGATTCAGTCAATAGCTCATATCTAAATTCAAAACTTTGTGCAAGAGCATTTGTAAAGATGTTGGCATCTCTATTAAAATTATGATACTAGCTATTTTCTATTTCACCTGAAATATTCTATATTATACCATCAGCAAATACTGTAAAAGTTAAGGCCCTCAAAAGATCATTTTAAGGCTTTAATATAGCCCTCAAAAGATCATTTCAATAATGCTCAGCTAAATTAACCAAGTCTGAGGATCTTTTTCATATTCTGTACTGTGGAAGGAAATATCAATAAAGCCATATATTCATAAAGTCTCAATCATTTATTACCTCATGTTTACTACAGCAATGATTTCTTGGCACGGCAAAATATATTGGCAAGTTTCCTCACACACCTGCTGCTCCTGTTCACCTGAGAGAGTTATTTAACTCTCTTGTGTCTTTTCCTAGTGAAAGGTTACTAGTACATAAATCTGTAAGAAACTCTGATCCTGCTAGGCATATTCAAGCGTGTAAAGGAATCTGTACACAGTAATATTAATTAGACATCAATGCAATAGAAAACATAGGAAAAGATGATGAAATTTATCTCTTGTATCATGAATCTCTCCCATGGAGATAGATTACGAGCACTGAATTTCCACTCTTTTGAAAGGCATAGACTAGGAAATTGGGCCTGTGCTCAAGTTCCCTGAATTGAGCCTGAGATCCTTCCATCCTTTCCCCCTCTCCCCCATCACAGGCGCTGTATAATTCCTACGAGTTTAGTGCACCCCATGATAATAATGAAAGGCGTAGAATGAGGGTGCATACAACTAAGGTGTACAAATGGAAAATATACTGTCAACGTGGTTCTAAAAATAAGACAAATCTAGACAATGAATTCAAATCTGTTTAATTCAGATTTAGAAAGGATATAGAGAAGTACAGTAAAGTGAATATGGCATTATTAAAATAAACAATTTGCTTTCCAGTATCTTTGAAAACAGGTTAGACATGGTTCTACATAACCTTAAATTGTCACTTGATTTTCACTTCCAAGTTATATTTTTTGCTATATTTCATTTCTTAATTATTTCTACAATCATTGTTCCATCATTACCTCCATGTTTGCTTCCTAATACTCTTCAAAGTTAAGTTTCATTATAGCATTAATATCTAAAATTCAATCAAGAGGACACCATTTGTGGAGCAGTATACCAGAATTATAAAAACAAAAAAATGTATGACCCTTGTAGGTTTAGTGCTTCTTTTTTATTATAATAATAATATAATTATAATAATATTATAATAATAATAATAGGTAGTAGGTTGGTAGACAGCAACCACCCAGGGAGGTACTACCGTCCTGCCAAGTGAGTGTAAAACGAAAGCCTGTAATTGTTTTACATGATGGTAGGATTGCTGGTGTCTTTTGTCTGTCTCATAAATATGCAAGATTACAGGCATGTCTTGCTACTTCTACTTACACTTAGGTCACACTACACATACATGTACACGTTTATTTATACACACTCATCTGAGTTTTCTTTGATTTTATCTTAATAGTTCTTGGTCTTATTACTTTTCCTTTTATATCCATGGGGAAGTGGAATAAGAATCTTTCCTCCGTAAGCCATGTGTGTTGTAAAAGTCAACTAAAATGCCGGGAACAATGGGCTAGTAACCCCTTTTCCTGTAAAAATTACTAAAAAGAATAAGAAGAAGAAAATTGTCAAAGTGGGAAGTCTGAATGTGCGTGGATGTTGTGCAAATGATAAGAAAGAGATGATTGTGGATGCTATGAATGAGAAGAAACTGGATGTCCAGGCTTTAAGTGAAACAAAGCTGAAGGGGGTGGGAGAGTTTCAATGGAGAGGAATAAATGGGATTAGGTCAGGGGTTTCAAATAGAGTTAGAGCTAAAGAAGGAGTAGCAATAATGTTGAAGGATAAGCTATGGCAGGAAAAGAGAGACTACAAATGTATAAGTTCAAGGATTATGTGGAGTAAAATAAAGATTGGATGTGAAAAGTGGGTTATAGTAAGCGTGTATGCACCTGGAGAAGAGAGAAGTGTAGAGGAGAGAGAGAGATTCTGGGAAATGTTGAGTGAATGCGTAGGGAGTTTTGAATCAAGTGTGAGAGTAATGGTGGTTGGGGATTTCAATGCTAAAGTGGGTAAAAATGTTATGGAGGGAGTAGTAGGTAAATTTGGGGTGCCAGGGGTAAATGTAAATGTGGAGCCTTTAATTGAGCTATGTGTAGAAAGAAATTTGGTAATAAGTAATACATATTTTATGAAAAAAGAGGATAAATAAATATACAAGGTATGATGTAGCACGTAATGAAAGTAGTTTGTTAGATTATGTATTGGTGGATAAAAGGTTGATGGGTAGGCTCCAGGATGTACATGTTTATAGAGGGGCAACTGATATATCGGATCATTATTTAGTTGTAGCTACAGTTAGAGTAAGAGGTAGATGGGAAAAGAGGAAGGTGGCAACAACAAGTAAGAGGGAGGTGAAAGTGTATAAACTAAGGGAGGAGGAAGTTCGGGCGAGATATAAGCGACTATTGGCAGAAAGGTGGGCTAGTGCAAAGATGAGTAGTGGGGGGGTTGAAGAGGGTTGGAATAGTTTTAAAAATGCAGTATTAGAATGTGAGGCAGAAGTTTGTGGTTATAGGAGGGTGGGGGCAGGAGGAAAGAGGAGTGATTGGTGGAATGATGAAGTAAAGGGTGTGATAAAAGAGAAAAAGGTAGCTTATGAGAGGTTTTTACAAAGCAGAAGTGTTATAAGAAGAGCAGAGTATATGGAGAGTAAAAGAAAGGTGACGAGAGTGGTGAGAGAGTGCAAAAGGAGAGCAGATGATAGAGTAGGAGAGGCACTGTCAAGAAATTTTAATGAAAATAAGAAAAAAATTTGGAGTGAGTTAAACAAGTTAAGAAAGCCTAGGGAAAGTATCGATTTGTCAGTTAAAAACAGAGTAGGGGAGTTAGTAGATGGGGAGAGGGAGGTATTAGGTAGATGGCGAGAATATTTTGAGGAACTTTTAAATGTTGAGGAAGAAAGGGAGGCGGTAATTTCATGCACTGGCCAGGGAGGTATACCATCTTTTAGAAGTGAAGAAGAGCAGAATGTAAGTGTGGTGGAGGTACGTGAGGCATTATGTAGAATGAAAGAGGGTAAAGCAGCTGGAACTGATGGGATCATGACAGAAATGTTAAAAGCAGGGGGGGATGTAGTGTTGGAGTGGTTGGTACTTTTGTTTAATAAATGTATGAAAGAGGGGAAGGTACCTAGGGATTGGCGGAGAACATGTATAGTCCCTTTATATAAAGGGAAAGGGGACAAAAAAGATTGTAAAAATTATAGAGGAATAAGTTTACTGAGTATACCAGGAAAAGTATACGGTAAGGTTATAATTGAAAGAATTAGAGGTAAGACAGAATGTAGGATTGCGGATGAACAAGGAGGCTTCAGAGTGGGTAGGGGATGTGTAGATCAAGTGTTTACATTGAAGCATATATGTGAACAGTATTTAGATAAAGGTAGGGAAGTTTTTATTGCATTTATGGATTTAGAAAAGGCATGTGATAGAGTGGATAGAGGAGCAATGTGGCAGATGTTGCAAGTATATGGAATAGGTGGTAAGTTACTAAATGCTGTAAAGAGCTTTTATGAGGATAGTGAGGCTCAGGTAAGGGTGTGTAGAAGAGAGGGAGAATACTTCCCGGTAAAAGTAGGTCTTAGACAGGGATGTGTAATGTCACCATGGTTGTTTAATATATTTATAGATGGGGTTGTAAAAGAAGTAAATGCTAGGGTGTTCGGGAGAGGGGTGGGATTATATTATGGGGAATCAAATTCAAAATGGAAATTGACACAGTTACTTTTTGCTGATGATACTGTGCTTATGGGAGATTCTAAAGAAAAATTGAGAATGTGTGTAAAGGTAGAAAGTTGAAAGTGAACATAGAAAAGAGTAAGGTGATGAGGGTATCAAATGATTTAGATAAAGAAAAATTGGATATCAAATTGGGGAGGAGGAGTATGGAAGAAGTGAATGTTTTCAGATACTTGGGAGTTGACGTGTCAGCGGATGGATTTATAAAGGATGAGGTTAATCATAGAATTGATGAGGGAAAAAAGGTGAGTGCTGTGTTGAGGTATATGTGGAGTCAAAAAACGTTATCTATGGAGGCAAATAAGGGAATGTATGAAAGTATAGTAGTACCAACACTCTTATATGGATGTGAAGCTTGGGTGGTAAATGCAGCAGCGAGGAGACGGTTGGAGGCAGCGGAGATGTCCTGTCTAAGGGCAATGTGTGGTGTAAATATTATGCAGAAAATTCGGAGTGTAGAAATTAGGAGAAGGTGTGGAGTTAATAAAAGCATTAGTCAGAAGGCAGAAGAGGGGTTGTTGAGGTGGTTTGGTCATTTAGAGAGAATGGATCAAAGTAGAATGACATGGAAAGCATATAAATCTATAGGGGAAGGAAGGAGGGGTAGGGGTCGTCCTCGAAAGGGTTGGAAAGAGGGGGTAAAGGAGGTTTTGGGGGTGAGGGGCTTGGACTTCCAGCAAGCGTGCATGAGCGTGTTAGATAGGAGTGAATGGAGACGAATGGTACTTGGGACCTGACGATCTGTTGGAGTGTGAGCAGGGTAATATTTAGTGAAGGGATTCAGGGAAACCGGTTATTTTCATATAGTCGAACTTGAGTCCTGGAAATGGGAAGTATAATGCCTGCACTTTAAAGGAGGGGTTTGGGATATTGGCAGTTTGGAGGGATATGTTGTGTATCTTTATACGTATATGCTTCTAAACTGTTGTATTCTGAGCACCTCTGCAAAAGCAATGATAATGTGTGAGTGTGGTGAAAGTGTTGAATGATGATGAAAGTATTTTCTTTTTGGTGATTTTCTTTCTTTTTTGGGTCACCCTGCCTCGGTGGGAGACGACCGACTTGTTAAAAAAAAAAAAAAAAAAATAGTAATGTAATGAATTTTAACACCCCATTATTACCTCATTATTTAAGTTTTTAAGTTACAACAAGTCTTATTTCAATTAAATGTCTTCCACTCAATATTCAATTTCTACGTTTTTTTTTTTTTTTACAATATTATATAACCTTATTTTCCTTAAAATTCCCAATTTATTTTATAATGTTTCATCCTCATTATTTTATAATGTTTCATCCATATTACTTTATAATACTGCATTCTCATTATTTTATAATGTTGCATCATCTTATCTTGTCAGTCCAAACAACAAAATTACTAAATAGATTACAAGTGTTAATTACAGCCTTTTTTAATAATGAATGTGAA